TGAGCTCCGCACCCGTTGTGTTGTTTGTTACTACACCAGTCAAAGTCCGAAGAATGAAAGACAGGCCAGCAGGACCAGGTGGTTGGTGGGTGCTCTGGTGTGGTTTTGCTCCTTTCTTTCCTGTTAAGCATCTCTTGTCGTGTTCTCTCTCCTTCTTTTTTGTGTTTGTTACTTCCTTGTAACACATCAAATACTCAGCAGTGCTTTGTGTGTGTGGGTGGTTGGCGGGTGCTCTGGTGTGGTTTGCTTTTTCTTTCCTATCAAATATCTATCGTCCTTATCTCCCCTTCTTCTTTTTTATGTTTGTTGCTCTCTTGTAACATCTCTAATCTTCTGGCGCTCATATGACCTTATGCAGTTGCGAGCACTGTAAAACCTCTACTAAAACTGAAAAAGCTTTGTGGGTGGTTGGCGGGTGCTCTGGTGTGGTTTGCTCCTTCTTTCCTATCAAACATCTATCGACCTCATCTCGCCTTCTTCTTTTTTTTATGTTTGTTACTCTCTTGAAAACTCTAATCTTCTGGCGCTCATATGACCTTATGCAGTTGCGAGCGCCATAAAACCTCGACTAAAACTAAGTCAGCAGTGCTTATATGACTTTATTGTGTTGCAAGCGTTGTTAAACCTTTACCATACTAAAACAAAGGCAGGCCCGCTGCCAACAGATGACCACATTTAGGCAAAGGCGATCGGACAGTCCCCAGAGTGCTGTAAATATACGGTTGGAACCAGCTCTAACGGCCACTCTCATTAAGCATCAATCACCTCCTGTACACACAACAACTTCACCACTTCTCGTTCCCCCCACCATTACACTGTGTAAGACGTCCACCTGTCCAATGCAATCACTTTTCTCCTCGACAACAGGTGGCCGTCTTTGATCGTATCAACTGTATGTTAGTTTTATTTAAGTGTGGCCTTGTTTGTACTCCTTCCAAGTAAGTGGGTGGTTGGCGGGTGCTCTGGTGTGGTTTACTCCTTCTTTTATATCAGACATAATATCATCCCTGTCCCTCCTCCTTCTTTTTTGTGTATGTTACTCTCTTGTAGCACCTCTTATCTTTGGTGTTTATATATGAGCTTGTGGTATTGGAAGTGCCGTAAAACTCTTATTAGCAAAAACTAAGTGGGGGGTTGGCGGGTGCTCTTGTGTGGTTTGCTCCTTCTTTCCTCTCAAACATATGTCGTACTTATCTCTCGTCGTTCTATTTTGTGTTTGTTACTCACTGGTAATACCTCTAATCTTTGGCACTTATATGACCTTATTGTGTTGCAAGTGCCGGAAAACACTCACTAAAACTATAAACTAAGCACAAACTGAACTAAAAACCAAGATGTGTGGTATGTTTGTTTGTGTGTTTCCTTTAACTAAAGCTTTGTGTGACAAAATCGTCTCTATGTTAAGGTTGTCATGTGCCTGACCTGCTGCCATATTGTTTTGTCCGGTTTTGGTATGTGGGTGGCGGAGCGTGAATGTCTGTGTGAAAAATTATATTGGTTTAATGCCCCTCGCAACACTGTAAAGTTTTTAAGAAGCGGAACCTCCGGTTTTAACAATCGTGGATGGTTGGCAGGTGCTCTGGTTTGGTTTGCTCCTTCTTTCCCATAAAACATCTGTCGTCCTGATCTCTCCTCCTTCTTTTTTGTGGGTGGTTGGCGGGTGCTCTGGTGTGGTTTGCTTCTTCTCTCCTATCAAACATCTATCATCTTTATCTCCCCTCCTTTTTTGTGTTTGTTACTTTCTTGTAACACTTCTACTCTTCGGCACTTATATGACCTTATTGTGTTGCAAGTGCCGTAAAACTCTTACTAAATGTAAATCCTTCTTTTTTGTGTTTGTTACTCTTTTTTAACACCTCTAATCTTGGGCACTTGTTTGAACTTACTGTGTTGAAAGTGCCGTAAAACTCTTACTAAAAGTAGGCTACAGTTTAACACCCATCTTCGATTGGACCCAACCAAATGGGAAAATCCATGCAAACTGCCTTTCCCAGTTACAAGGCTAAAATAGCATCTAGACATGGATGGCTGGGGCCTCTATAAATCATTTAAAAAATTGTTGATGATGACAGAACCACAGTAAAAAATCTGCTCTCCACAGTGCAGTCTCTTCTGCATCAAGACCATGCTTATAACATATATATGCAGATTTTAAAAAAATGTATTTGGATCCATGGTTCATGCTAATATACTTAAGTCTAGGCCATAGCGAACAGCATGTGTGTGTGTGTGTCTTTTCTTTGTGTGTGTGTGTGTGTGTGTGTGTATGTTTGTGTGTGTGTGTGAGAGAGAGAGAGAGAGAGAGAGAGATAAAGGGAGAGGGAGGGAAGACAGACAGATAGAGAGAAAGAAGAGAGAGAGGGGAGAGAGAGAGAAGACAGACAGGCAGAAAGAGAGGACAGATAGAGAGAGAGGAGAAAGAGAGAAGACAGAGAGAAAGAAGTCAGAGAGAGAGAGAGAGAGAGGGAGTATTTTGGGTCTTCATTGTGGGATGCTGTATCCCACTCGACCCTGCTTGGCCCTGATAGACAGGTTCAAAGCCGTCTCCTAAGTTATTTGTAAAAACACATACATTAGAAATAAAAAACAACAACCAACAAACAAACAAAAAGAAAAAGAAACCACCAAAACTGACACACACACACGATACACACACACACTCACACACATATACTACTTCCGGACTCTTCGTGGGATAGGAATCTCAAACTCTCTCATATATTGGAATTGGACAAATTTGAAATCATCTGCGAAATAAAAAAGGGGTGGGTTGATTGGAGGGTGGGGATTCCCCTGCACATTAAGCCGAACTACCACTGTGCACTTGCGCGGGAAGGCATTGGAGTCACTAGGTTCTAAAATGTGGAGATTCAAGCTTATGCAATTGTAGAACTTATTATCCTCACTGCACTCTAAAACTTGGCTAATTCTATGCACAGTCTGTTACTTTGTGGCCTTTTGTTAGTTTACTTGTACATTATCATGTAGTTTTAGACATTTTAGCCATATGGAAGTAAACGTCTTTCAACAGACCCTCAGGGTAATTATGTTTTCTTTTTTATCCATTATTTCAATTTCTGAATTATTGTCCACTTGTTGGTAGATAGGGTGCGAAACTCTAGGCTGAAGATAAAAAAATGTACTTTTTGAATTAGTACAATGTGTGAAGTAAATATCTTGTAAGTTATTTTTCAGTCAGAACCAGGTATTTATGAATTTCAATTTAAGCGTTAAATGGGGAATTAAATTTTCTTTCTCTGATTTTTTGTCAGTATTAGAAAATGTTTATCTGCAGCGACCTGTCCCAGAAGAAGGGCACTTTACCTGAAGTTTGTTGAGATTTTTTTTCTCTTCCAGTTGTTGCTCTTTGCGCTTTTTATTTTGGCTGAAGTTTGATGCCGACTGTGTATACATGCTTTACCTCCACCTCTTTAACATATCTCTGTACATTTATATCCCTGCATAGACAAATATGAATCTTCAAAAGTTTATGATTATTCTGAAACAAATTTTGAAGAATAGATAAAACTTTTATGATTCATTGAGCGAGCATTACTTCAGAATTACTAGTGTTATTTCTGTGTTACTTTTTTATCTGAGTAACATATTTGAGAAGTTAGTTTTTCTTGTTTCAGAATAACACAAATTTGTTGCTCCTGTTGCTTTGTTTATTTTATCTTGTAGTCATTTCTCCCTCGGCTCTGATGGTGAGGGAGGTGGTGAGAATTCTGAGATCTTCCAGTTTCTCCATTATTTCTTTGGCCAGTTGTGTCTTTGTCAAAGGTCTATGACAGGTCTTGTGTCTTTTTGTACAGTGCAGCCTCTCTACAATGACATTGTCTGGACCAGAAAAAGATGTCGTTACAGAGAGTTGTTATTATAGAGAGTTAAGAGCGGGGACCAAAAATATTACTAATGATATATAGGATAAAATTGGGACCTGGGCACCATGTTGCTGTACAGAGATGTCATTATATCGAAGGTCGTTATGGAGAGGCTGCAATGTAGGCCCTACTTCTTTTTGGCTATATCAAATGTTGAAGGCACAATTACTACAATCTGTGTTGAGTAAGTACTCAGCACATTGTATGACATGTTTTGCTAAGATGTAACTATATCATTTCTTTGAGGATGGGTGGATAGAAGGCGCCACTGGTAGGTGCCTACTTCTTTGCTATCCCTGTTTTATTTTCTCTCAGTCTGTCTCACTCTTTCTCTGCTCAAAATTATTGTGATTTTGCCGATGTGCTTCTGATTAACAAACAAATAAACAATTGTTTTGTGGGGAAACCCATGGAGGATGACAGATATGAAGCTAAAGATAATCAGTTAGTGAAGCACAGCATTCTGTTCTCCGACCCAAGCTATTTCCTTGGAGAAAAAAAACTAACAGTTCTGAGTATTTTTCTTCGTACAATTTAACCAGTTGAATAACCAGAATGTCTGTCTTGGTTGAATTGGTTGTACCATGTAGAATTGTGTGGCTGATGAGATCCTCCTTCTTTTCTTTCCTATGATGTTTAGTCTATTTATCTTCCCTTTTCCCTGAGCTATATGACCCTTTTATTGTAATATGCTTCTCTTTTCACAAACTCAAACCTCAATGGTGAGTGGTTGGAGGGTGCCACAAATAGGTCCTACTACTTTTCTTTCCCTCCATTGTTTCTGTTTGTCTCTCTTGCTCTTTCCAAAAACTAGATGACCATTATTGGGTTGATGTGCTTCCATTTACTGTTAAAAAATGACAAATGACATGATGTGTACGTGATCTGTGTCATTATTATTACCGATGCTCCCCTTGTTTAAATTCTTTGTGCCATGTAAAATTTTCTTCTATGTTAATATGCGTGTGTGGTGTGTGTGTGTGTGTGTGTGTGTGTGTGTGTGTGTGTGTGTGTGTGTGTGTGTGTCTGTGTGTGTATGTGATGATGATGACAAGCTGTGTTCATGCTCTGTGTTGTTTCTGTCGTTAGTGATGCTCACTTTGTCCGTCTCTACAGTTACCCAAAGAACTTTGAGGTGAAGGAAGCTTGGTTGTTCCACCAGGAGCGTATGGCCGACTGTGTGCGAAGTGCCGGCCTGGATGTGACCAGACTCAGCACCCCGTTCTCTGCACGACCCAACCTTGGAGGTACTGGGGCATGTTCCTCTTTTGTTTTCATCGTCTGTATTTCTCACATAAAGCTCTTTGTTGCTCTCTCAATCTGTATTTCTCCCATAAATCTCTTTGTTGCTCTCTCCATCTGTATTTCTCCCATAAATCTATTTGTTGCTCTCTCTCCATCTGTATTTCTCCCATAAATCTATTTGTTGCTCTCTCAATCTGTATTTCTCCCATAAGTCTCTTTGTTGCTCTCTCAATCTGTATTTCTCCCATAAGTCTCTTTGTTGCTCTCTCCATCTGTATTTCTCCCATAAATCTATTTGTTGCTCTCTCTCCATCTGTATTTCTCCCATAAATCTATTTGTTGCTCTCTCAATCTGTATTTCTCCCATAAATCTCTTTGTTGCTCTCTCCATCTGTATTTCTCCCATAAGTCTCTTTGTTGCTCTCTCAATCTGTATTTCTCCCATAAATCTAATTGTTGCTCTCTCCTTCCGTATTTCTCCCATAAATCTCAGTTTTGCTCTCTCCGTCCGTATTTCTCCCATAAATCTCAGTTTTGCTCTCTTCATCTGTATTTCTCCCATAAATCTCAGTTTTGCTCTCTTCATCTGTATTTCTCCCATAAATCCCTTTGTTGCTCTCGCCATCTGTTTTTCCCCCTCTAAGTCTCTCAGTTACTGTCATCCTCTGTATTTCTCCGCTACTTTCTGTGTTTTACCCAAAAGTATGTCTGTCTTGCTCTATATTCATCTACAAGTCCATCTGTCTCTCTAAATTTCTCCCTTAAATCTATGTCTTTCTCTATGTTTTACCCTGAAGTCTCTCTTTCTGTCTGTCAGTATACTGCTGAAATTGCAAAAGGCTGGATCACTGGAGAAAATATAAAAAAATTGTGTTAAAAACCTGAACTGTTAAGAAATTTACATTTTACATTCCAGGAAATGACCAGTGTGATAATCTGCGTGTGTGTGTGTGAGCGGGCACGTACGTCCGTGCTTGCAGCAACTTTTAAAAATGATTTTCTCTTTCTATCATGGAAGGGGGGAAATGGCGCTCCTGTTTCAATTTCCTGTCTTTGGAGTTAGGGAGAATGGAGTCTTACCATTTCACTGGTCTCTTAGAGAGTGGGATAGAGTACCTGGTCTTCTTCTCAGATACAGACTATGAAATCCATACAAAACTGGGAGGTCCTAATCCTATGTTTGCTTTTGAATGTTAAAAAAGGGACCAAACTAGATCCCTAAGTATCTGGAGTAATTCAAGGCAGTTTATTAAAAGTCCCTTTGAGATCTAATTGTGGCAAAAAATAAGAAGTAACTCTGTCGCTCTTTCACATCACTCTGTATATTTTTCCTTCATGTCTCTCTGTATTTCTCCCTTATGTCTCTCTGGATTTCTCCCTGGCTTCTCTGTTTTCCACCCTCTCGTCTCTCAGTATTTCTCCCTTATGACTCACTGTATTTCACCCTCTCATTCATCTCTCTGTATTTCTCCCTGGTGTTTTTCTGTATTTCTCTCTCTCCTCTCTCTCTGTATTTTTCCTTCTTGTCTTTCTGCTTTTCTCCCAAAGTATTTCTCACTACCGATATATATATTCTGTTCTTGGGATAATTGACCACTGCCTGTCCCCTTTATTATTTAATTTGTAAAGCTGACTCCAAACACCTGGGCTTTCCATTTCTTTGGACAATAAGAAAAGTAAGATTTTACCCATAGATTGAACTGAGAATACTCCCAGGATTACTGCAGATTTCTTTGAAAACAACTCACATACCAGTACACATATCCCTCCCCTCCCTCTTATCGTATCATGTCTGTGTGTGTCTCATCAGTTGGCTCCGGTGAAGGTTCTATGACTGTCAGCGATGTGGCCAGTATCAACATTGACTTTGAGACAGCTGTCGACGGGTCTCCACGCATATTGGTCAGTAAACAGCATTATCAATTAATACAAAAGTAGTCCCAAGCAGTTAAAAATATCATTGGACGACTTTATGACTTTATGAGAATTTTATGTCTTTTCGAAATTTCTTGAAGTCTTGCCTTTGTAAATACATAATGTAGATTTTTATATATATATCTCTTACTTTTAATTTTACCTTGTTTAATTTGACTGCCTACTTTGTGCTATTTTATAGATAAAAATTTACGTTTGTTGATAGTTTGCCTTTCTGTTTTGAATTTGAAATACTGCACCTAAACCCTTTGTTTTTTTGTATGGTTGTGACTGATTGAAATTCTTTTGTTTCTGACTGAATTTGAAGTCATACTTGCAGATCTGATCTGATAATACTGTAGTGATAGTTTCCACTTGGTAAGAGATATGGCCAATGTGTTGATAGAAAAACACAGGGTATACTTAAACTTAAATGACCCTTGTGGTTTGTGTGAGCCTGCTTTGAATATTCACTGCAATCTGTATGTGTTGTTAATTAACAGTAACCTCATGTTGTGCGTTGTTCAACCATGATTGCTTTTCTGTGTTCTTCAGAAACGTGGGGAAGACATCACTGTGGAGTCCCTGAAGAAAATGCTTGGTGAGCTTATCACATCAGATGAAACTCATTTTATAATTTGTTGCTTCTGTTGTGATTATTTTTAATGTTTTAAAACGAAGAACCTGGGGTTTTAGTAGACTTTAGTTTTAGTGGTAGCGTGAAAGGATGGTTAGCTTGGATTACTTTTTACAGGAAATCTCTTTCAGTCTTTGTTTTCAAGAGATTGTTTTGGCTCTTTTTTCATCATAGTTCCACAGCTGTTACAACATTTAGAAGAAGGAGAAAGAAAGGAAAGAAAAGACAACTTTTGGTATCTTTATTTCTAGGAGTCTAGAGAGATTTCTTTTATTATAATGGTGGCAAATGTAACCAGATAATAATAGTCTAAAATTACAAACTGAAACCATAACAACAACAACACAGCATTGCTGATCATCACATCGCAGTTCCATTGAATTTTTTTTAGAAACTGGGAGGGTTCATGTGCTCAAGGATACACCCCAGTGAAACCCCACCAATGTTCTGTGTTACTCACACAGTGTAAGCCTGAGCTTATGATTGTACTAAATTCCTAGTTGAGTCGGCTAAGTTCCTGATTTACTTTTATATTTGTCATTTCAAAGATTGCTTATTTTGTATGTTCAGCTCTATGAAAGCTATGTGATTTATTTTAGACCTATCTTTTACATGGCTATGGCTTATTTTGTTTGTTCATGTCTTTTTTGTTTTAGTAGAGGTTTTTCGGTGCTCGCAACTGCAGAAGGTCATATGAGCGCCAGAAGATTAGAGGTGTTACAAGAGAGTAACAAACATAAAAAAGAAGGAGGGAAGATAAGGACGATAGATGTTTGATAGGAAAGAAGAAGCAGCAAACCACACCAGAGCACCCGCCAGCCACCCACTTGCTCAGGCCTGTGAAAGCTATGTAATTTTTGGGGGCCTATCTTTTCCATGGCTATTTGTTGTCTGTTCCCAGCGGAGGATGGCTCAGCATACAAGGCGGAGGAGGAGCGTCACCGGCGTGAAGTGGTCAACATGTTCCGCTCCGCACCGTTTGAGGAGATTGTTGCACGCTCTGAGGCAAAGGTGAGAGGAGGCTTTAGTGTAGAGAGGTTGGGGGGACTAAATTGTGGTTGCCAAGTGTGATGGTTTATATTACTATTATTACTTTCATATATTCATCATGGGACGGGAGGGGGGGGGGTGCGACTGAAGGATTATTTGGCAATGTAGGACTGGTGGACTTGCATAGCTTGCATCATAGATCATAACTTTGTGTAATTACAGTATAACACTGATTCTGAAAGTCTGTGATGGACTAGCTCGAATTTGTCGGGACCAGCCTCTGTACTTCGAGAGATCCGTAGTTCAAAGCATCTTACAAAGACAAAGAAAAATATAAAATGAGACAGCAGGCACAGTTCGGCGGATGTGTGATTTCGAATCTCCTGTTTTCGACCTATCCATGTTATACTCTTTTTACTTGCTTCAATTTTGTGGAGTTGAGCAATTTGAGATTATATTATATTACATTATTATTATAATATGTGTTGGGAGTTATTTGTAGTTTGTAGGTTGCTTAGGTGTGTGTATGATTCCAAATAGAAATCGATGTGGCATCATTTCCCTGTCCTCTGTCTTGTGTTTCAGTCGAACCAGTTCCACAGCAAGTTGTCTGAGATCCTGGAAATGGTGTCTGTAGAGAAACTGCCATCTGAGCCTCAGTCGCAGGACATGGTTTTCCCCAAACTCTTTGTCTACTGAGGTGTGTGAGATGCAATACAAGGATCAGGCCTACTCCTCCAATACCTGCTTGAGTACATGTGCTGCCAGCTGCAAGGGGAGGAAAATGTCTGTCGCTTCTGTGCATTTATGCTAGACCACTGGCTATGATTGTAGCACATGCTCAATGTTTTGGTTGTGTAATGGGGGCAAGAGGGGGTATGAGAAAAGTTGTATCATCTGAGATCTGTTACAAGTAATATAAGTTGAGCTTGTCATGCTCTGGGAGAACAAGATGTGCTGCAGCTGTGCTGTCTATACCTGGCCCGATGGAGATTCGACTGCATAAAATAACTTTACTGCGAGTTGAGGCTGGCACTTTGACAAATACTCACATACAGTGGAACCTGCCCAAGATGACCACCCATTGTCAAGGAGAAAAGTGATCATTTTTAGACAGGTGATCCTCTTGGGGGAGTGGGAAGTGATCGTTTATACAGCTAGTTTTCTTGGACATATGGTTCTTAGAGCAGATTCGACTGTATTATTATAATACAAAAGGATAGTAGGTGGGGGCTTTGGTGTGCTCTGCTACTGTTTTACATGTTATGTCGTCCAGAGTCTACAAACTTGGGGTGTTCTCAAGGGGGTTACCATTCCCTACTATGCAGGAGTTGGACTGCAATGTCCCACCTCCAGTGTTGTCTGCCTCACAGATTTCTGCAGAGGACATACACATTGGAGTCTGTTGGGAGGCAGCAAAAGGAAGGTTAATGAAGTATTATGAAGTGAGTGGTAGAAGAGGGAGACACTGTCCTTGTCTGTGGCCAAAGTGTGGGGTGGGTCATCTGTGGTGAGTGTGACCCACATTTTCAAACAGGGTGTGTTCTTTTGACATACAGATGATACAGTACTCACATCTCGAGCCCTCTATTGCCACTTAGTACTTAGAATATTTAGATCTTAACTTGCAATACAGTTTGTTTTGTTCCTGACTTTTTGCCCTGCTACTTTTGTTTGTTACTTATTGTTAATTTCATTCACACTGTACTTGCTTACCCAAAGACCTACTCATCTAGAATGCATCAGCAGACAGGCTCTGGTTAATGTTTTCAGCTTTGTTTTAATGTTTTTGTTTATTTTCTGGAAGTCTGTGATGGACTAGCTTTTTTATATGTTCCATTCTCATTCGGTCTTACTCTTAAAATAATTTATTTTATGGTGAGCCTCAAGGATGAAAGTTAATAATAAGTAGACTACTTTTGTGTGTGGTGTACAAGTATATTTATTATGACAAATACTGTCGCCCCTGTGGCAAACGATGATGCAATGTTCACCTGCCATCGCAACAAGCACCCCAGCCAACACAAGCAATCAATTCTTGGACTGTGGGAGAGTGAGATGATTTGTGTGTGTGTGTGTGTGTGTGTGTGTGTGTGTGTGTGTGTGTGTGCGCCTGTACATAATCTGGAAGGTGTGTAATAATAATAATAGTAATGTGAGAAGCATACTCATACTCAATAAATATGTTCTATATATTGCTTAGCCAGTTTTATAAGTTGAATATTGCATTTTCATGGTAATCATTTTCATAAAGTATGATAAAGGTTATGTGAAGGGTAGCAGAACTGGTAGGCCTACTACAGTCAAACATCGTTATAGCGCCAGCCCCGTTTACCACCAGGTTTTGCCAGTGTACAAACATGAACATCTATAGTATTATGAAAAAAACAGTATTTGCGCCTTTAAACTGCCTTCCGCCAGCAGTGTAAGTTGTACGGTCCTTATTATAGTAATGTAAATTTGCCTTACTGTAGGCTCCTGTCGGCCAATTGGCTGTTCGGATGTTCAAAATATAAACTGCACTCAGCAGCTGCTTAATATTTTTATTTTAAAAAAGAATGGAGTGAAATTTTAAAGCCTCATGTAGTAGAAGCTTCAAAACAATTGCCAGATATCAGCCTGATAACCAAGAGGCGGGTGCCCATGAGGCTTTTGGCTTTTATTGTGAGGACTCGTGCTCAAACATGACATGACAGGTCTACGAAGACGGCCAGAGGACTAACGAGAATCGGGTAAAAAACCTGCGAGTCTTAAAGGGTCCTTAGCACATAATATTATATGTGAGACAGTGTGGTGGAATCAGGCTCTCGTCAGTTTTTGGACATATTGAGTTATTGGTATCATCTTAAAGCATGATCATTTGTCTTGCTTTCAATGAAATAATTACCCATTCGTCTTCAATAGAAGTGGAGATATTTTGGATTGAAAGAGGTGGGGGTCACCTGGTTTAAGAGGTAAAATTAGCGAGAAAGTGGCCGCCAAAGCTTGGTAAATTTCAAAGCTGGAGAGTCCATGGAATCTGTAAATTTATATTTTTGTGCTTTTAATCAACGTTTTCGGTGAAATCCTCAAAGGAATGTGTTTGTAAATGGACATAAAAAGTGTTGAGAGAAAAACAAAAATTTGATAAAGATTGCTATGCAGGGAGAAAACTGCTGTTTTCTTCGATTTCATTATTTTGACGAGAGCCTGATTCCACCACGCTGCCTCACATATATAGCCTAGCTTCTTTCAATAAAGATTATGTAAAGTTTAGCTGCAGCTGTACTTGTAACTTGTTTCTACATAATTATGTTTTTTGCCTGGGCATGGCAATCGCACAACACAGAGATCTAGAGGCGGCAAGACTGGCCACAGTACGTTTTTCTCTAGTCTTTATCAGTATATCACTAGTCAAGATAGCGATCGGTGCCGTCCCATTATATTTATGGCCAACCACCAACTTTATGCCTGTCCCATTGTAGGCAGTATAACGAAGTTTGACTGTACCAGATGCTGAAAAGTGTGAAGATGGGAATGTTAAGTTATGGTTTCTCCCTATTTTATACTAATTTTAGGGGGAACCTAAATGGTGGCAGGAGGGAGTTTGGGAGGGATTGATAAATATGTCCATGATGTGGTGGAATCAGGCATTCATCTATTTTTGGGTATTAGTATTATATTGTCGCTGTCGCAAACAATCCACTCAAGTCAAAATTTGGAGAATTTTAAAATTATTACTAAATATTATTCCCTCCCAAAGCTATATCAAACACGCCTCTTTCAGCATCACCAAAATGCAGTTTATTATTATTTTCAAGGCTTACGAATTCCTTGCTTTTCTGACTTTTCATGATTCCTAATAGGATCAACACAAAAACTAGTTTTTTGTCTCTGATGTAAAAAGTACCCAAATGGACATACAAAGTAAATGGATTGCTTGCGACGCTGGCAATTTGGAGTTATTGTAATAATCTTAAACTTAAACTTAAAGTAAATTTAAGTTAAAGCCTGTTCAGTTGTCCCTCTTTTGATGAAAAAATACCCATAGATATATCTTGAATAGAACTTGAGATACAGTGGAATCCTGTTATAATGAGAGGGAGGGGACTGGCGGGAAATACCCGTTATAGCGGGATTCTTGTTCTAAGGGATCCAACAATAATGAAATGTTAAAGTAGGCCTAATCTATGAGTTTGATGTTTTATTTATTTCTTTTAGATTTTGTTATCTCCCTGATGATTTTGTTCAACATGACCTCTAGACTTGATCAAAAATAGAATCAGGTTTCTTTCTCTGGCGCTAGCGATGTTGAAAGCTTGGCGTTGGCGATCAGAAAGAAAGGGCTCTAAGCTTACTCGCCCGCTGTGTTGTCCCCCACCCCACCACACCCTGTGGTGCGTTCCATCTGCTCACGCACATTGGGTACTCACCACACCCTTCCCACATCACACATTCGCTCCATCCATCACAGCATTGTGACCTCTCTATCCCTGCATTGGAGAAGTGAGAGGCGTGGTAGGCCTAGATAATCTAGACTAGGCTGGCCTATCACGCTACGCATACTGCTTGTCTGCACATGCCACACCCTCCCCACTTATTAGCTCCGGCCTTCATTGTAGGCACACGTGAGCTCTCCCATTCTTTGTTTCGCTAGATCATCTTGTTTCTCAACTGTCGGGGTTTTAATGCATAATTGGCCTATGCACTGTGCACAGCAGCAGCAAATTCAACTATAACCGACTCGCGTGTTTGTCTGATTGCGCTATAGCAGCAGTCCTTTATTTACAAAGATAAAGAAGGGAAAAAAACGGGGTTTTAGAATAGTGTCTTTGTTAACTTTGTAACAGTAACAGACTTCTCGTTATAACTTATTTCAGGACTCGTGGACTCCACTGTATTATATTTTCCACTGAAAGAGATGGGGGTTCGCTTGAGTGTCAGGGGTAAAAAATAAGCGAAAAAATGACTGCCAGAGTTTGGTGAATTTCAAAGCTGGAAACTGCAACCTTTACATTTTTTGTGCCGTTGATCAACAGTTTTCAGCAAAATTCATGGAGGAATGTTATTTTAAATAGACATAAAAGGTGTTAAGCCCTAAACAATTTGACTCAATTTGAGAAATTTGGATAAAAATAACCTTACAGACAGAAAAAATTTGGTTTGATTTCATGATGAGGAAAGCCTGATTTCACCAGCCACACAAGACTGATTGTTAAAATGAGTAAAGATGCACTTCCTTCTGCTTATACACATGTCTTTTGCTTCGACTCCCATCCTGTCCTGTCGCAACCTCCAACAAGCCAGCACAAAGGGAGTGGGTGGTCTCGAGTGTTGCAGTTCTTTGTGTGCACTACTGTATGAGACATGGTGAACTGGAATTCTGAATTTACGTTTATAGTGATCTCTTAATGTCTTTTGCTTACCTGGTATACCATAAAGGAGTCTACTTTCCTCATAAATATTCCTTAAAGTAATGGGCAAAACTTTTCTCTGAGACGTATATTGTCTGGGATATCTATGCTTTCTTTAGTCTAAAGCCGTTTCCGGATTTGTAATTTTCAGAGTTTATCACTGCCTGGTACTAAGTCTGTCCTATGTCAAGATTCCACAATTTTCCCAATGATCGGAAGAACGAAGAGAGTTCTCTGATATTGTAATACTGATTCTTGTACCTAAAATTTGAAAAATGACCATGAACTGATGGTTAAAGTGAAACGACGGAAAAACAAATTTAGGAAATTGTGAGGCCATTCTTATATTAAACAAGTTTGTCAGTGTCAGTATGATCATACAACTAAGTACAAGTCTGAGCACTGAGTACCTATGTCAGTAATGTCACTGTGTAGTTGGCTAGATCACGGCTTCCATGACCTGCCCACACCAAAGACTAATTAGTAAAAGTAAGCTCCCTCATTTGACTTCAAGTTCATATTTTCACAATGTGATATATATGTATGTATACATTATTAGCACTCCCATGTACAGATGCTTCATCATGAATACACACAATGTTATCTGATCTCTCGTCTGTTGGAATTTTTATTCTTGTGTCGTTTGGATAATTATTAGTTGTTTGATCTCCAACTGCTGTAAGCTGACAAAAACGCTTTTTTTTTTTTTCATTTTGGCGCAAAAAAATGTATTTTTGCTAAATCGAAAGCCTGATCAGTTACACTACTTGTGGGAACAAATCAAAGTAAAACTGTGACTAGTTTTTTAAATAAATTAGAATTCAAATTTTGGAATAACATTATTTTTTAATGGTTAATACGTTGACAAACGAAACGCAGAATTTTTCAAAAAATTACTGCGAACAAAAGATTAAAAAGATGTTTTGTCAGTTTACAGCAGATTTGTGGTGAGTACAGTTTGTAAGATTTGTGGTCAATACGATTTTGTTGTGTATTTGACTGTGTACTTGTTATAACAAATAATAGTACATGTAATAATATAATTAAGAAAAAACGTGGGACCTGAAAATCTGTTTTCTATTTGCCTTGCGTGCCAGACTATATAGGCCTACTATATAAATCAAGTGCTATTAATAACTTGAAAACATCTAGCGGCAATAAAGGAGTTGATCTTGTGAAATGGCGCATTTCAAACTGGATCTTTATGTCCATTAGTATTAGATGTTTCCATGGATGATAAAAATCTGTCACAACGTTGTGAAAAATTAGTTCCACTAAAACTAAAACCTTGATTGGCCATGACAATCACAGCTGGAACAGCCAACCTCCAAAACGATTGAGATTGTCAGAGGTGTAATATTACGTACACTAGTGTATATACCTGCAGTGCATCTGATTTGATAGTCTAGATTGCAAAGTCGTTTAAGTAGCTACGGCTATCATCGGCTATGTTATATTTAATTCCAAGGTTTCATGAACTTTCATGACCTATTTTTAGCACATTTTACTTCAGAAAGCACACATTTGTGCAGTGAAACAAGCTTTCTAAAAGCTACTCACTGGCAGCCGTACTTGCAACATGTGATCTATGCCAGGCACTGATTACTGGTAGCACTGCCACTGTGCAAGAACTAAAACTAGTAAAACTGTGCAGCAGATGCAACAATGGCTAAAAATTTAAAAAACAAACATTTTGATTTCCATGGAATATTTTTAAACCAATAACCATCTGCATTTAAAATAATGAACTGATACTCTTTTTTAGACTACCTAAGCAGTCAATAACAAAAAACATTGAAAATAGCTGACTGTAATTAGACCTCTTGAGAGCTGCAAAGTAATACTAATACTAAAGGGTGACCTTATTTAGGCCAAATATGGCCTAAATATAAGCGTAACTTAAACCCCCTCCTTAACCTTATTTAGAGGGGGGGTACTGACAGTGATGGAAATCCATAGTCACATTGAAACCAAAGGTCCGCTTCCGTGTGTGTACAGACTGGGGTCATAGAATTCATTCCAAATCACAACATGGAGTGCTTTTTCCCCTGGCGCAAACTGAGGTCACAAGACTAGTCTATTTTTGTGTTCGAAAAAATTGGCCTGGCTGAACTCACCCCACAATATGTGACTTGATGTAATAATACTTGGAAGAAATTTTATGGCCATCTTAAAGCCAACTAAACAGACTCCAATCAACTCCTTTCAACAGTAGGACGTAGGACTTGGACTGAACACTAGAAGGTGGGATCTAATAAACAGTTAAACTGGTCCTTCCGTGTGATGGGAGGATGTGAATCCTTGGTCTGAAAGCATAGTAGTAGGAAACTGCCGGAGCCAATCCTAGTACTGTGGATTCAACAAAGTAGTCAGGCCTGCCTGACCTTCAATTTAATTGAATCCGAGAGTTCGAAGTTACAGCAAACATGAGGCATAGATGATAGAGCAAGCAATTTCGTAATCAAAATTATTTTGGTTTTTTTGATGAGAGGCATTTTCGTTTCTTTTAATCCATACAGAAGAAAAGCTGGAAAATTCTAGGAAAATACTCTGAAAATCTATCATCTAATCGCAGAAGTTATGTTGCAGTGTAGAGCCTAGCATATGGCAATGTTTGATTCCGCAGTCCAGTGCGCACTTCTGTTAGGTAGGTGTATGTCAACATTAGCTTATCATTGTAATATTGATCAATAGCCAGGGGGAACAAAATAACTGACGTATTTGTATACATCTCTGTTGACGTTCCACATACGGACAGCTTGTGCCCCACCCCACCCCCAGACACACGTACTACACTACGTGACAGTCACATGTGTGCTGGCCACTCGTTCGACGCACACACGCGCTAAGACGAGACGTGTGCATGCAAACAACGTGTATGTCATGCTCATAACTGCGCCTGAACTACACTACAACAGGGAACTGCTGCCTTTTCTTTCCTAATCCCTTCTATCATATTTTCCTCTACTTCTTTTGTATGTTTATCACTCTTGTGACCCGCTATTTCCGGGGTGCCTTGATAGTCAAAACTGACTTTGTGCTGATGAAGCTAGAGAGGTGAGCAGAGTAAGTCTGATTCCTTGTAAGGACTTCTCTGTTGACATCCACCCCATGGCGCTCATATGACCGTATGCAATTGCGAGCGCCGTAAAACCTCTACTAAAACTAAAAACTAAACAACAACACGTGTGTTCGTATGAAAGAAGGCCGGTGATTGGTCGCATAAGATATAAACAATAGGCTAAGCTAAGCCCAGGGTCCCCACCAAATCCTGGATGATTTTTTCAAGACCCCCAATTTTTTTTCAGGACCCGAATTCAAGGGAAAAATTAGGGCGCTGCGCGTCAAGAATGATCCCCCAAAAAGCCAATCTATCAATGATAAAAAGTCAAAATGTCTTTAAATGAATGCAAATGTATATTTTGTAGTAAAGTCTTCAAACAATAGATGACTATAATACTGGGTGACTGCCAAGCCAGCTTCTCAATTTTCCAAGGGAGGGGCCTCATCCATATTCCAGGAACACGTTACCTAACAATGAAAGCGCGTGCTCCATTATCTAATATAATACATGTATATGTTTGTGAATACACACACACACACACATGTAGGTACATTATATCCAGTCAACAACATGTCAGTGTGGCACTGGGATCTTGAGAGACTTTGGTATTTCAGTCTGTTCTTACTTATTTATATTTTCCCCTCATCATATTAGCCTATATATAAAAAATGAATCCTGTTTTGAGCCTGAGAAAAGACCTAGAACTAGAATATCGACTGTCAATAACCAGTCCGGGTGTCATGATTCATATAATAAACGTGAAGGAAAACCATTGCTGCAACTCAAAGTAGAGTAATATTAGTAATAACTAGAATGGCTCAAGTACACCTATTCAGTGTGAGAGGTGTAAGAACTGGGGGAGGGGGCAAGATGCAGTGACACTGAAAATCTGCCAATCTTGAACAGAAAGCTAAAATATAGATATATAAATTACAATCACCCATCCAATGAAACGCGAACACTTAAGTTCAATAACAAGGCATGACGGATCCCGATTCCACACAAGGCCTGCACCAACGCGCGCTTTGCCGAGAGCTCTAAAGCAGTTATCAAAATGCTAAAAATTTGCTTCAAAGTTCAGTTTTTGTCCTCTAGCGTGGCCTTCAGCCCCCCAATCCCCTTCCACGAGTGTATCGTATAATTTAAAGGAGTCCTTACTTCACAGCGCTCAGACCGCCGGTACTCACAGGTTCATTGATAGGTCACGAGGGCGAACCTGACAAGACGCTTGTATAAGTTCTTTTTCTTTTTTTTCCCCCACAAGCGACAGCAGAGGGCAATTTTTAATTTTTAACAGCGTTAATAATGCACGACCTGCATGCTGCAAATGTTGCGTTATCTATCAGACTATTACTATTACAGGAAAATTTCTGGGTGGTAACGAAAGCGAAAATAGATCTTGATTCTTCCCGATCGAGCCTCGGTGTCACAAACACACTTCCGCTACAGCGGTTCAATTACGTTTCCTCTTCAGGATTCATCAACCATACAGTCTAGATAGCTACACATTACACAGGCCCTATCCTTTCCCGACCCATCACAAAATTCCCGACTTTTTCCCGACCCATCTAAAAATTCCCGACTTTTCCCCAACCTGGTGGGGACCCTGTAAGCCAATAATGGTTCACGATGCAGATGCCAAGGATTAAATGATTGACTTTTTCCAGGAATAGATCTAGTTAAGGTTTGTTGCTGGCGGAAAATGAGCGACGCCTAGTCAGCACGGACTTCACTCTGCAAGCGACTTCATTGAATACAAGCTTGCCCATTATGAGTTTGTTGAATCAGGGTTATTTCTACTGATTTTAATAAATATGGAAACAAAAAACAAAAAACTCCTTTTGTTGAATCTGAGTTCCCCTGTACAAGTACAAATCTACAGACGAAAAAAACACCAGAAAATAGTGCCCACAAAAATTTATTGGACTGACAAATGACAGACATCACAACAAGCCAGGCCAAAGGTTTCTAGCAGACGTTTCCGACTGCTTGTACAACCCCAAGACAACATAGAATATAAAAAAAAAACATTCTGATCCGATAAATGCTTTGAGAAAAATATATAGTATATAAGTTATGCAGGTGATAGAGACGTAGAAAATGAACTGTTTAGAACATCAAGGGCCAAAAGCTCTCTATTCCTCAAATTTCCTAAAACAAAATTTTTGTCAACTTTCCAGCATCTACTTTTTAAAATAAAAAACTTTTCCACTTCTTGTATCGAAATTTGATACCTTAATTTATACTGAAATTTTACGTAGGCATTCATTGATACAAATGTTATGAAAATGTTGGAAAACGACTTTTGTATAAGATAGAGAAGCCCCGACTTTAACACAGAGACAACAACTGTGAAGACATGGCTGTAGGGACAATGCATAAACACGATCTTTGGGGTTTTTTGGAAAACAGGAGACATCGAATCAACAAAACTAGGGAGCCCTCACAGGAAATGGTTTTGCAGCGGAAGAGATGTTTTATGGCGAAAAGAGTTGGTCCCTGTAATACAGCGCAGAGGAAGCGACCCGACCTCAAGGCTTAAAATTTAATAAAATCAAAGCAGAATTAGAGACCGAGAAGGTGAGTGAGGTAGATGGTGACTGATGTGGGGAGCTGGTGAGTCCACCTGCTACATGCACGACTCACAACAATCCGATTAATAAATAATGATCAGACTAGAATGCTGGCAGTGCCTTCTGAGCGTTTGCCTCTATTTGGTCTCCATACTCCAGGGCTTTTTCAAATGTCTGTGCCAGGTTCTACATCGAGCTGTCAAGGTCACTGACAGGGATTCGATCAATGGACAAGAGGCCAAACCAAACTGTTATCACCAGTACGGTAATCATAAGAATCCACATTCCAAACAAGGGTCAAGCTACGACCAACACAATTTAAATTTGACCATAAGGTTGTAATAACTTTCTGTTTTTAGGTGAGGGGTCCTAGTAGGGCGGCCACAACATGAACACTTTTGAACGGCCGGATACAAACCTAATTACGCTCAAAACTACATTTCTGCTCCAAGAACACAATCTGGCACAGAGTAATCCTCTCTTGGAACGGAACAAAATCGGGGAAAACCAAACTCAAACCAAAACTGGTCAAAACTTATGCAAACTGCAACCACTGTACACACAGGATGACTGGGGGGAGGGAGGGGCGACATAAGAGAGAGTAAAATGAAAAGAACAAAGAAAACTCCAGGTAAACAACAAGACCAGAAGGACAAGGCCTCGTCTCCTCTAGGCAGCGGGTACACTGGCAAGTTCTATGCTAAACTGACTACTCCACCCTCTTTACACACGGGCAGCAACATAGCAACACTGGCAGTCGCCACGGAGACTCTAAGCCAGCATATTCTCCTCGGGAGCCACGGGGATGCTGCACACAGCATCATGCAGGGACTGGAAGTCCATGCCTGCCTTGAGCACCGCAGGGAACTGACCGTCAGCTGACAGGCTCTCACAGCGGCGCTTGGCCACGGGCTCTCCGTTCACCTCACGCCTGGGAAGACAACAAAGATTTGTTTTAGTACCGAGTGACTAACTACATTTGCAACACAATAGGTCAAATGAAAGCCGAAGATTGAAGCATTAAAGAATAGAGAGTACAGTGGAATCCTGTAGTAACGAGAGGGAGGGGACCGGTGCCAAATGTCCGTTATAGCAGGATTCTTGTTATATGGGATCCAGTAATAAATTCAAGGGGAATAGTAAAGTAGGCCTAATCAATGAGTCTGGTTTCTTTTTGTAATCTCCCCTGATGATGATTTGGTTCAACATGACCTTTAAGTCTTACTTGATCAAAAGTCGAATCAGGTTTCTTTCTCTAGCGCTAGCGATGTTGACACAGCTTGATGTTGGTGATCAGAAATAAAGTTCAGTAGGTTAACTTGCCCGCTGTGTTGTCCCCCACCCCACCACATCCTGTGGTGCGTTCCGTCTGCTTGTGCACAATGGGAACATACCACACTCCGCCCACGTCACACGTTCACTCCGTCCATCACAGTACAGCACTATGACCTCTCCATCCCCGCATCAGAGAAGTGAGAGGCATGGTGGGCCTGGATAATCTAGACTAGGCTGGCCTATCACATGATGCGTTCTGCTTGTCTGCGCATGCCAAACCTTCCCTACTCATTCGATTCGGCCTTCATTGTTGGCACACATGGGCTCTCCCATTCTTTGTTTCGCAAGATCACAAACAAGTTTCGCAAGATCACAAACAAGTTTCTCAACTGGCAAGGTTTTACATGAAAAAAAAATGGCCTATGTGCCGGGAACAGCAGCAGCTATATTCCGCTATAACCGACTCGTGTGTTTTTCTGATTGCGATATGGCAATATTTTATTTACAAAGATAAAGAAGGGGAATAAAATACGGGGCTTTAGAATAGTGTCTTTATAACAGACTTCTCGGTATGAGTGGATTCCACTGCAATAAACACACAAAAGGAGTAGAGATAAGGACAATTAATGTTTAAAAAAGTTTTAGTAAGTGTTTTTACGACACTTGAAACACAATAAGGTCATATAAGTGCCGGAGATTAGAGGTGTTTCAAGAGAGTAACAAACATAAAAAAAGAAGGAGGAGAGATAGATGTTTGATAGGAAAGAAGAAGCAAACCACACCAGAGCACCCGCCAACCACCTAAAATAAACGTTTCATCTTAGTAAGAGTTTTATAGCACTTGTAACACAATAAGGTCAAATAAGTGCCGAAGATTAGAGGTGTTACAAAAGAGTAACAAACACAAAAAAGGAGGGGAGATAAAGACGATAGATGTTTGATAGGAAAGAAAGAGCAAACCATACTAGAGTACCTGCCAACCACCCACCCAATAAACGTTTGATAGGAAAGAAGGAGAAAACCGCACCATAGCACCCGCCCACCAACAACTGTTTTGAGTAAAGAGAAACATAAGGGCACAATAAATACCGCCATTCCATACAAGGGAAAAAAAGAAGCCAAAGAAGGGAAGAAAAGAAATAAGACCAACAAGTAGGGCCCTTCAATCACCTGCAGACACTAATTTCACCACAACCTCACAGTGACTGCGGCCAGACCTAAAGCAAGATCTGTCAAACAAAAAAGTTTGCAATCTTCTCAAAAATCTTTATATGAACACACCAATAAGGCCTACAAAAAAAGAAAAAGTTTCAAAAAGACACAATACTGTTACGAGTGTAAGCATTGCAAGTTGCCATTTTGTTCTCATCAGTTCAGTTTTAGTAATGTTTTACAGCGCTCACAACTGCATAAAGTAATATGAGCACCAAGGGGTGGATGTCAACAGAGAAGTCCAAATGGGGAATCAGGCTTACTCTGCTCACCTCTCTAGCCTCAACAGCACTAAAGTCTGCTTTGACTATCAAGGCACCCAGCAAACAGCAGTTCACAAGAGAGTGACAAACATGAAAATACAAAACAAGTAGAGGAAAATTTAGATAGTAAGGGTGAGGAAAGAAAAGCAGCAGTCTAAAATATTGACAGGTCATAACGGTCCCTTCTACAGTAGGGGAGATTCTGTCTCATTCCCGGGTAGCTACCTGACTACCAAACCAGACCCCTAGTGAAGACTACTGTTCTGATACTGATACTAGTAAAGTGTCGATTCCAAACCAAAAGAGCAAGAGCTAAGCAACAACCAAAGAACAAGCAAGAGAGACAGAAAGAAAAGAAGTAGGCCCTATCAGTGGCGTCCTCCAACTCCAACTACCTGCCAGCAAAGGAGAGAAACTACTAACCAGACAGAGGAGCGGCAGAAGTAGAAGCAGGCCGGCCTAGGCATTCCGTTGAATGTGGAGCCAGCACACATGGTGTAGGCTCCCATGTCTCGGAAGTACATCCACTGTCCAACCTCCATCTCCGGCAGATGGCAGTCTTCAAGGATGCAGTCCAGACCGTCACAGGTTGGGCCCCACACAGAGGAGGAGAACTGGGGTGCGTCAGGGTCCTGGGTGAAGACAGAACATACGTAATTTGAGTTTTTGAGTATGAATCAAGAAGAGAGGCAGGGCCACACTGAACACGTTACATATATGTTCATGTTCCAGAGTTTTTTTGCTGTCTTACATTGCTGTACAAGATGCCAAGATTAAGCCTGAGGAGTGTGAGGAGTGTGAAAGAGCAATTGGAATGCTCCAAGCTGGTCTATAGGCACTATTGGAGTTAATTGGACAACCACAATGGTCAAAACAAATATTGACTCCATCAATGGGCAGAAAATTGAAGATGCCAAGCCTGCATCATTGCAAGGGGTGGTCATACTAGTTACTGATATGAAGTTTTGAAATCAAGGGGGAACCAGTAAATACTGTATCACCATAGGAGCCATGACCAGGAGACAAAAGGAAACACACTTCTTGAAATATGTTTGTGTCATTCTTTTCTCTTATATGTCGTATACAAAGCACAATATATGCAGTTTTCTGAGTGGAAAGTTTCTAATACTGATGCGTATCAGGGCTGCCTACTTAGAATTTCCTATTTCAGGTAAATTCAGGGTTAATTTTAGGTATCTAGGCTCAAAACAGGGCAGTATTCTAAGGTATCGAATAAAAAAATCTGTTTTATTTCTCCTTCAGTGAATAAAACAACAGGAGATCATGAAATTTTTTGTGATTTTAGTAAGTTACTGTGACAACTTTTCCTAGGAACAAACCAGTTTCACTAAAAAAATATAAACCACTGTACTATAGTTTTTAAAATGCACAGAAAATTGAGGTAGCCAACCTGGTAGCCTACTGGTACTAATACTGAGAGTAATTTGCCATTTACCACCAAAAAAAACCCAACCAAAAACCAAAAAACCCCTTTCATTCAGATATGTTTCACATGATCGTCGGTCGTGGCAAGCTGGAATATAATACACGGGATGTGTGTGTGTGTGTGTGAACTTATAATGTATAAGCACGGGCAGGGGGACACTTATTCGATACCTTAAGAGTACATAGACGAAAAAGAAGGTAAAAAAAAAAAATCGTGTACTCTAATTTTCCTAGATTTACGCATTCAATTGCCTAATGTTACAACTTCAGAGCATCACTTCTACTTATCTTTTATTTCAGCATCAGTTTCTTTCACCACAGCCTTATCCAGCTGAGGTAGAATCCTACTGACAAATTCTCTAGATCTAGACAAATTTGAAAAAGTTTCTGATACTGACTTTCTTTTATGCACTTGCCATTCACATTCCTTAATCAGATTAGCGCAGATTTTCCAGCCACAGCAAAATCCCAAAAATAGAATGATTTAGGCAGCCCTGGTGTATACACAGAGCAAAGAACACACAAAAACAGCACAGAACAGTGAGACACAAAGGAGTACAGGTCGATCGCTCACTTCCAGGACAGAAGCCTCCACCTGGGCATGGTCGTACATGAGCGAGTTGAAGGAGCCGTAGACGCCATCGTTGACGTAGTACATGTGCGAGGGCTCATCGTTACGCGTCACATTCTGCTGGTGGTGACCATCCACGGATGCTCCTGGATACAACAAATAAACTTTCTGCTCAAACACCTTCAGTCAAGGCACAGCTTAACAGATCAGCATCTACATTTTTTTAACAGAGTTTGTTATCCACAAACACTATTACGATTAAAAATATACCAGACAATAGCAAAAGTGCAGCAGATACCTTTAAAAAAATGTAGGATTGCCTAAGCTAATGGAAAGCTGATCATTTCGATAATTTTGGCAAGCTGTGGTATGGTCTTAAGGCCACACATGGGTTTTTGGGGTTCAAACAATGTTTTTTTTGGTTTTGAGAAACTTCCCTTGAAAAGTATATGCTAAATCGAATGGAAGTACTCTCTCTTTCAAAGAGATAGCTCCATAAAGTTTGTAACATTGTGAGCCAATACAATGCTTTAGAGTGATTTTGAGACATTTTTGCTCCTTTCCTCAAAATGTTCATTTTTTGGCAATATTAATATTTGCAATTTCAAGAAAAGCTAGCGTCATTTTTTAAAGATTTGTGTGCAGATTACAAATATGTAATTAGTTCATAGGTAACATGGATGGATTTTGAGCTTTTAGCTTTTGAAAATGGTCCTCCAGATAGCCGGTTTCACTTAAATTTGCTATTTCCATCATTATGCAACTGAATATATGGTTCCCAAAACTGAATATTTTTAATCCCCGAATGGAATACTTTGAGAAAATGAGAAAAATTGTAGATTTTGGCACTAAGAAGTAGAGTGAGGCCTTAAGAGGGCAAGATTGTTATCAATACTGTGTCAACAACGGAACTGTCAGCCTTTTTTCTGTTTTGATCGAAATCGATACTATCATGGGCATACCAGAGGTCAGTTCTTTTCATATGCTGATTGTGAACGTCAAATCTTTCATAAATTTACCCATGTGAAATGAAAAAATGAATTAACCACCTTAGTTTTGTCATGGTCAGAATGATCTTAAAAACAAATCAAAATAAGAGATGAAACTCATGTAGAACTCCATAGTGTACTGCTGGCAGGATCAGGTGCAACAACATAAGCCAAGCAGTCCTTATAAAATAAATCTTTACATTTCTCTACCTGAACTAGACAAGCGTTTGAGTAAAGAGAAGCACATCGACACAATAATGGTCATTTTGTGCTTTTAAAGGTACCCTATAATTCTGTGACTCACCGCCATTGTCCGAGATGTCTCTGGCCACAGTGCGCTTGGCAATGATGTTGACTGCCAGGGTAAATGCTGAGGCCACGAAGTAGCGGCCTGGCTCAGCGATGATGCGGACACCGCTCCCCTTCGGGAAGTACATATCCAGTGCCTGGTTCAGCACACTGGCAATCTAAGAACACACAAATGAACATGATGTTGTTTTTAAAAAAAGAGAAAAAGAAAATGTGAGGTGGCATGGTGAAATCAGGCGTTCGTCAAATTATGAAATCAAAGAAACTGGCATTTTCCCACTTGTTTGGCAATTACTATTTTTTGGCTCAACACTTTTTATGGTCAAAACGTATTTATGCGGCCTCTAAGGACCCCCAAGCTTTGGATGAAACTCCGACGGCCGTTTTCTCGCCAAATTTACATATGAAACCAGGCCACCCCTACCTCCTTCGATCGCAAATACCTTGACATCTATTCAAGTTAAATGAGTATCTTTTTTTTCCCATTGCAAGCAAAACAAATGAACACGGCCTATAACTCCACATGCCCAAAAATTGACGAGCACCTGATTCCACCTCCAACAACCCACTCACAAAAGCTGGCAACAAGAAAACAACATCAAACAAACAATACCATAATTCAATCTTAACCCACAAACATATGGCAAACAAGGGACAAAGAAACAAAGGTGGCTGAGAACTGCCAAAACACAGACGAGTCTGTTCTCTACCTTTGTGTTTGCCTCCTATAAAATCTCAGGAGTAGTCAGCTTCCGGTTCTTTTTTTTTATATAGTAGAGGGTTTTTCGATGCTCGCAACTGCATACGGTCATATGAGCGCCAAGGGGTGAGTGTAAACAGAGAAATCTTTTCAGGGAATCAGACTTACTCTGCTCACCTCTTTTGCTTCAACAGCACAAGGCCTGCTTCGACTATCATGGCACCCCGGTAATAGCGAGTCACAAGAGTGTGACAAACATACGAAAAAGAAGTAGAGGAAATGACAATAGTAAAGATTAGGAAAGAAAAAACAGCAGTTCCATTTTGTAGATCAGGCACAGTTATCAGTGTGACATGAAGAATCAGCCCATTTACAATTCTACTGTGCTTGAACGTGAAATGTCCCCCCTTTGGGAATGGCCTAAAGACACTACAGTCAGTGGCACTGCCCAGGGGGGTGCTACTGGTTCTTCAACCTGCTGTACAACTGACTGTGACACATGTAACAGTTTTTCTTAACCCTTGCTTTCAGACGACCAATTTTTAAAAAAATCTATATTATTAATACTGATCAGAGTATTTTCAGTTTTGGTAGGAATTAATTTTGAATTTTGCCTGAGTGGTGGCTGAGATCTACTCTTAATTATTTTACAACTACCAAGGGAATCTTGAATGTGCGCAACTTGCACATGTCATGGGATTTCAGAGTTTTTCCACTCTAATCCAAGAAGGCTCGGTGTTCTATCTTACCCATCTTAAGATCTCGGGTGTTGCAGAGATACGCTACCTCAAATCATGAATGGATGAATGGAAAAAGAAAATGTTTCCTGTTAGGTAAATAAACCTCTGAACAAGTACAGTACAAAACAAGTTTTACCTCCTCGAAAGTAATTGGTGCCGATTTTTGTCCCGGGAAGCCTCCACCGATGTCCAGAAGGGTCATCTCAAAGCCATACGCCTGTGCCATATTCCAGGCCTCGTAAGCTTGCTTCACAGCACAGGAAAACGCTGCCGCCTCCTCTACGCCACTGCCCACATGGAAACTGTTGAGATGAAGAAACACATTAAATGTCATCTCTAAATAAATCAATTCCGAAAAACAGCTACCACACTCCTAGCTTCTCCAGTAAGCACGTTTTAGTGTTTCCAAAAGAGAAAAAAAAAAATGTGAGTGACATAACCTGAGACATCAAAGGGAAGGAGAATCCTATTGCAAACTAAGTACTGGATTCATGAAGAACACACATATGAAGCTGAAATCGACCGGTCATACTTCAATAACAGTCATATATTTCAGTGTGTGACCAACTGATGTCGAGCCCATCATACTGACGTCAAATTCCAGGTTTCCATGAAAGAACATACTTATGTATTGCATCTTTGGGGTAAGTGAAATAGTTACTCTTCCATCTTTGAGCCCACCCAGTACAAAAGAGACAAAAGAAATTGAGCATTTTTCTTGCCATAGCCACTTCTCACTGTGGGGAGACTGAATTACAAATTTCACTGCTGGGCCCACTGATCTAAACACAGGGTTCCTGCCATGAACTTCCCACCAAATTCAAGGAGATTTCAAGGAGAAATTTTTAAAATTCAAGGAGATTTGGTCAAGAAATTCAAGACGAAAGCCTATTTCCGATAGGCCTTTAATTATCCGAAAGAAATCATAGTTTCGATTTTCCTACAAAAACTCTGTTCCAGGGTGACTGCCACCCCGGCTTCCTAATTTTCCGGGGGGGGCGGGCGCGCCTCATCCATTTTCCAGGGGCATGTTACATAACAATGACAGTGTATGCTCCATTTATATATTATACACACAAATGTGCGCATGCAGGTTCATCATATCTAGTCAAAAACATGTCAGTGTGGAACTGGGGTATTGCGTGACTTAGGCATTTCAGTCTGTTCTTTACTTATTTATATTTTTCCCCTCATCATACTCGCACTATATATATATATATATAAATGAATCTTGTTTTGAGCCTGAGAAAAGGCCTAGAGCCAGAATATTGACTGTCAAGAACCAGTTTGGGTGTCAAGGTATACACAATAAACATGAAAGACAACTCGAAGTAGAGTAATAACTTGAATGGCTCAATCACCAACAAAATGAAACGGGAACCCTTTAGTTTAAAATAAAACACGGCTTAAAAGGTTTGAGTATGAGTATGACGGATCCCAATTCCACACAAACCCTGCACCAACGCACGCTTTGCAGAGAGCTCGAGATATTGGAGTAGTCAAAATTCAGAAAAGTAAAATCTGCTTCCAAGTTCAGTTATTGTCATTCGGTGTGTGCTTTCAACCCCATCCCTCGAGTACGTCTTAAAAAAAAAAATCAATAACCCCCCCCCATTCACGAGTACTATACTTCGTAGCGCTCAAACTTTGAATGAACTTTGGTGACCTCACGCCGATACTCACGATGTGATGCGAACGAAAAAGTTCATTGACCGGTCACGATGGCGGGCCCGACAAGACGCTTGTATAACTTTCTTTTTCTTTCGGTCTTTTTTTTCCCCACAAGTGACAGCACAGGACAAATGATTTGTTAACCATAGGCAACTGAATTAAAATGTAGATCTATTTGAAAAAAAACAAAAAAACAACAACAACAAAAAAACAAAGGCACTAAGTAGACTAACAAGCATTTGAGTCAATTTGACACAGTTTGGACTTGGTGACTAAAAATCCAGTGTTTGTTGCAAGCTGGTGTCTTATAAAAAGATTTCTTTCAACTTAAAACTTGTACATCGATGTTGAGCACGCGCAGTATTGGATCAAGGAGGCAACACCTTTGCCGCTGTACTGAGCACTCCTGTACAACTGCGGTCCCGTTTGCACTAGTAGTCCCTCTGTAGAGTGTAGATCTAACCTGAATTAAAATTATAGCCTAGGCTATCTAATCTAGATCTAGAATCTAGATATCTAAATATGTGTAAATCTAGATTATATCTAGAGATAGACCACAATATTATAATATAGCAGTCATGTAAACAAACGGGACCGCAATTGTACAAGAGTGCCGCGATTTCTTTCTCTCACCAAACGCAAAGTGCAGCAAGCGGTTTGTTCAATTTTCTCATGAACTTTTCAAATCGCACCGGCAGCTTCTTTCTCATTCCAGCTCCTTTTATTGTTGCATTCTGCATCAATTTCTCTCCAATTTCCGCCGTTTTCAATGACAACTCGGCGCGCCAACGTCCCGATGCCCGATCGACACTTTGTTGCTCCACAATAAACAAAGTGAAACTAACGCTAGGCCTGGAAGAACGGAAGTAGAAAGCTACGGGCGGACATGCGCAAGCTGCATTTTCGTCCCTCTCCCGGTTCTGTGTTTTCTGCGTGTAAACAAGTATCGCAATTTGCGGCCGAGAGCGGTCCAGCGGAGGAAGGAGGAAAGTAGCGGGAAAAGCTAGATGAAGCGGAGTTTCCGCTATTTAGCGGGAAAGTGGCAGCTATGTTCAACTTCCCTGGGCATTCCCGGGTCTTGGCGATTTTTTTTTCAAATTTCCGGGTAATTCCCGGGGAGCCGTCAGTCACCCTCTGTCCGATCTGGCAAAATTCAAGGAGTTTTTAAGGAGGTTCCTCAAATTCAAGTAGTTTTCAAGGAGATTGTTCCTTGAAAGCAAATTCAAGGAGTTTTCAAGGACTCCCTGAATTCAAGGAGGCCGCGGGAACCCTGTAAACAGATTAAATCAGGAGAAACTACTGGCATTTACTTCAGAGAGAGACACACTGACCTGATGCCCATCACATTGAGGTCCAGCTCCTGGGCCTGGGCCAGTAACTTGCCGACGTTGTCCGGGTGGCAGCCAAACTTGTTACCCAGCTCGCACTGCACCTTGAAGTGAGACGTGGGCAGCAAACGCAGCACCAGTCTGAGAAAGGAAACATTAGATGGCTCAATATGGACGGACAGACACAAAAGTAACAACAATAGCCAAATGGGAAACAACATAAATAGACCTGCATGTGAGCCTCAACCAGATTGTCTGAAAATTTTGCGCAACCCCCCCTCCCCCCAAAAGAGCTTCTGTGGGTGTCATAAGGAAGGACTTTTCCGAGTAACGAGCGACCACCCCAACAAACACAAATAAGAAGAGACCTAACCCTAACCCTAGACCTACCCCAAAAAAGAACCTGCAACGGGCCTCATGTAAAAAGGCCAGCACAAGTCCAAAATGGGGGGGGGGGAAAAACCCAAACCCACTCCAAAACAAAGAGCATGCATAATATGGCCTACATCTACATTGCTATAATAGGGTTTGATACAATAACACAATAGAACTGGAATATGAATCCTCCATATATAGATCTAGTAATCTAAATAAATCTAGATCGAGATCTTGCAGAACAAGTGAATAGGAATTGGCCTTGAACTAGAAATCCGCATCCGATTCCGAACAGAGGGACTCAGCTGAGTATAGATTCTATAAATAATTCACACACCTGATGAAATGCTTTTTACCAACATTAACCCTTAGAGTGCTGATCGTGACTGGTGGCGACGGCCCGAACTTCCGCAAAGTGCTGATCGCGACCATAGACACTGGCATATAGTATAACGTGATGTACGAAAAGAACGAAGTATTAATTTTTATACTGCTGGCTGGTAGGCTACGCAGAATTGATTTCAGCCGCTATTTTTCTTGTCACCGGGTTCGATCGAGGCGCGAGGAGTTTTTTGTTTCACTTTTAAGTCGAGTGATAGTGAAGTCGGAAAATTCGCGATTTCGACAAACACGAAAATAGTTGCATTCGATTCAGATGAAGATGTTCCGCGTATTTTCCTTGAATCAGAAGATGATTTCGAGGGTTTTGATGCTAGAGCTAACACTTTGTGGAATATAACGTAGGCCTATGAAGCATCTAGACTCGGGTCTAGATCTAGAGATCTAATGAACCGGCAGTTTTTCAGTCATTTCCATCACCACTACTACAACAATAACTTTACAAAATACTTTTTGCTGAACATATTCAGAAAGAACTTTCAATATTCTAAAACTTTTATTCTTACCTTCATAAGAAATTTTGACAAATAAAAAAGTTATTAGCAAAAGAAAAGCGTATGTGCAAATCTGGCGTTTTTCCAAAATAAATTCAGCACAGAGGGAAAATATAAGGGGAAAGAAGTCATCGCTCTAAGGGTTAATATTACAGCACAACCTATGATAGGGTTTGACACAATAGAATTGGAATATGAATCCTCCATTGAGGTCTGTAATGATCTATATAAATCTAGATCTAGATTCTATTAGAACAAGTGAGTCAGACTTGAATGAATCCACACGATCTGAACAATTGAATTTGTCAACAAACGAAATTCAAAATGGCCGCCCGAGCACGAAACTGAAAGTAGATAATTTAGGTCGTCGTCCTTTTTCGTATTCGCATTTCTACTCGGGTTCCGACAATTGTCGGAAACGCGTCGGCACGAAAACCGAATGGAGAAAAAGGGGGCGCTGGCAGTCGGCCAGGCCTCGCATTTCGCACATTGACTGATACAGGTGGGCCTAGCAATAGCATCGGCTGGCTCGCGGGTCGGATTTCAGACGATGGCCGGCAAACATGCAGGTCTACATAAAGTCCGAAGCTTGGTTTTGGTGGTTGAGTAAAAAGAAGCCCATTAATACAATACTTGTCAGGTGGTAAAACAAAGGAAGACAGACACGACAAAAAAGAAGGAAAGAAAAGAAGTAAGACCAACTCCTGGTGCCCTCCAATCAGCAGCTGAAAACCCAACAGACAGCTGGAGGAGCACAGACAGACAGAAAGGCACAAACGTTATAGTAGTAGCCAAACAGGAAACATCAGAGACAGCATGAGGCAGATATTACCCCATACATATATAAAACAAGTTGTAGAAGCAGAATCTTAATATGAAACGTTAACCCAACCACTTCCATCTACGTGAAATGAAGGAAGGCAGGATCATCATTAATCTGATACCTGAGGTGTAGCACTAATTAGACTAGTCACTCCCAGACTATCATAACCATTTTCTCTCCGTCATTTCAGTTCATGCACAACTTCTTGCCACTCGAGATTAGATCCATAAAGACGGGAAATGAGAGCATGCACCTATTAGGCAGCAACGTTGAATGTACCCTGGGCCACTGAGACTCGATATAATACGAGCTTCCAGCAGAGGGAGCATGTTACTATAAATAACACTTTAAGTATCGGATCTTACCAAACAGTCAGCTCTTGAACACCATGGACCAACTCCTTGCAACAGAGCCCGGACTGCTGAGAGGAAAAGGGCTGAACCTGTACCTCGGGAACACAAACTCTGGAGTCAGTCAGCCCTACAGCCATTACTCACCTGGCACTCGGATAGAGAGCTTTGATCTTGATAAGCTCTGCCTCATTGTCGAAGGTCATGAGGTCAACCGACTGCTTGTGGGCATACTTGAGAAAGGACTTCTGCTTGCAGGGGTTGGCGTAGATAATACGGGATGGAGACACACCCATCTTGACCACCTGGGATATCTCCGCCTGCAGGGGAGGACAGAAATGAGTGTTCATTTGAATAAAGAGAAGCACACCCACACAACAATGATCATCTATGTTAATGTTTTAGTGCCTGTAAAATGGCAACTTGCGCTGTATGTTTCCCTTGAACCTGAGATTGTACCAGAATGCTACTTCAATATAAAGATAATTGGAGAAAACACTTCCAAACTAAGGCTCCAGTCTCTTATCCCTAACATCACACAGATTCTTCCATATTGCGTACAACCTAAGAAAAGGATAGCTAACAAAAATAAAAAGTTGTGACTCTTTTTTAATTAAAAATAAATGCGGCCTGCAAAGACAAAATAGATTTTTTAAAAAGTTTTCTTTAAAAAAGCATATGTTTATGAAGAAACGTCATTAAAAAAGAATGCAGATTTCTGATTTCAAGCTCTTCGCTTCACACATTGGGTTAACATGCTTTGGAAAGAAAAAACAACAACTTTTTTTTGTACTTTCAAGCCTGTACCTGTTCGAAAACTTATTCGAACCATTCTATATGAGTTGATTGGCAATGCAATTTCAAAACACGGTGGCTGCCTGACCAATAAAAAGTAACAACATCTTCCAATCCCAGCAGAGCAGTGATTGTAAAATAATTCATCATTCCACAATTTTGTTTCTTCCAAAAAATGATAATACTGACTCCTTGCAATTGCAGTACATCATGTAGACAAAAAAAGAGAAAATCTTCAAAAGGATTTGAAAGACGCTTCGACTGGCATATAAGATCTTTGCGACTCATGAGCCGATCCAAACACTTCCACATTGGGCAAATAGGGGGAAGTCAGAAAAAACATGTAACATATGTGGGTCAGCTTATCTCTAGATTTCTGTTTTGTTTGTTTTCAAGACGTATTGGGTACAACTGTAGTAGATCAGAACAATGAGCTTGAATGAAAAAGGTGAAACTGCCACTATTCGGGGGTAAGTTTAGATCTAAATAGAACTAACCAGAAGTCTGCACCTCAAGTGCTTTCTGTCATCACGCATGTTAGTATTCCAGATAACAGACAGACATAGATAAGAATAGCTTGGATGTTCTGACTAACTCAGGAGTGGAGGAAAGGAAGAAGCAGGGGCCAAGAGCACCTCTGGGATTTTGTGAAAATACTTGTAAAGTTATGAAGTTACACTGGCAAAAAAAAAACCAAAAAAAAGAATGAATAGAAACAACTAATATGCAGTTAAAAGAAAACAAATGTGTCACAATGTGGAGGAATCAGGCTCTCGTTAATGTTGGGGTATGTAGAATTATTGGCATCATCTTAAAGCTTTTTTCATTTGTCTTGCTTTGGATGAAAAAAACAACAACCATATATCTAGAATACAAGTCGAGATATTAGCGAAAGAAAGAGGTGTAAAATAAGTGAGAAAATGGCTGCCAAAAAGTAATTTATTTCCTTAACTTGAGAGTCCGTAGAAACAGAAAATTTACACCTTTTTACCTTAAATCATTGATCTTAAGTAAAATCCACAAAGAAATGTTTTTTAATTTAAAACCCCTCCCCCATAAAAATACAGAAATCTGCTGAAAAATGCCAGTTTCTTCACTTTGACTATTTTGACAAGGGTCCAATTTAACCACAATGCCTCACAAATGCAAAGAATTACCGTTTTTCAAGTGAAAGTAACAAAAATAACTGGGAGAAAAAACCAAAACAAATGGCATTCCAGGAAGCCTGGCCAAGCCTCACCACTTACCTTACTAGCACAGTCAAAGCCCATGCCAAGCTCGGCCAACAGCTTCACAACAGTCTCATCTTGATTGCACTTCACGGCTGGCAGACAGAACAGAACAAAACACATCCCTTTTAATACAGAAGACAAAATCAATTAAAAATTTTTTTAAAAATATTTTACACGAAAGACATAAAATCATGACCTGGCTATATAACCTCAACTTTCCACATTTTGCTTATTGTTGTTCCTTTTTACTCCCTATCATAGACATTAAGTCACAAACATGAAAATAGTTTGGTTTATAAATTTATAAATCCACAATATATTATGTGAATCGGGAACACAATTCGAAAGGGTTCAACAAGTCTTATAGAGAATGCTCCTGTATTTGGTGGCTTTTGCCATTATAGAAATGTAGCCAACTGTATCATCATAAAGTGTGAGCTTAAGGCCCGATACACTACAATGTTACTTAGAAGGCGGGTTCCAAATTTATCATCCACCCTCAAGTGAAAGAAGAGCCCAGAAAACGTCCTAAACAACCGAAGTTCTAATACACATCGTTGGGGTTGTAAACAAGGGTCACAACTGCTGTAGCACCACAGAATACCATCCAAACATTTTTGGTGTCCTTGTATCACAAAGTGTGTGTGCAGAACAATTCTGATAGGATGATGATGATGATGTCGCAGGAGAAGATGACTTTGACTTAAGATCACGTTGGATGTGCGAGCAAAAGGCTAATTCTGATATTTAGTGACAGTAGGATCACCAAAAATTTGTCCCCCCCCCCAAAAAAAGGGGGAAAGTCCCTAAACAAAATGAAAAACAAGTGGCTAGTTCAATGTGATTGTAATTTTTATCAATCCCTTTGGCAATACTACAAGAATATGAGGGGATGTACAGGGAGGGCTTTACCACATGTAACTTCTGACATAAGCCTGACAAGTGACATCAAAACAGACACACATGAGCAACAAGGCAAAATGAAAATGCTCCTCACCATAGAAAGGCTCCACCCGAGGCAGCAGCTCCTTCCACTTGACAAACTTGCCCACAACGTCGCCCAGATCAGCGATGAAGAACGCTTCATCACAACCCTGCAAAGAGAGGGGGAGATTATTTGGGTTTGGGTAAAGGGAAGCACATCAAGACAAAAGACAATGCCAACCATTTAATGCAGGGAAAAAGCAAGACAGGTAAATATGATCAAAAGATGGAAAAAAAAACAGAAGTAAAACCCACCTATGGCAATGCCCTCCAACATACCACTGCAAACATGACTCAAGGGACCTCCTGAACTAGCCCACAACCACATATGTTCACACTGCACACACAGCAGTCAAAGGGAACAAAGGAGGAATGCCAACAAGGGGATAACAGGGAAACGCACGGCGCTTCAATCCAGACTGATGGCAATACAATGACCTGTAAAGACAATTTTGCCACCGACTACATCTCAACCACTCAGTGTAAGATTGTCATACATCAATCACTCTTTTCAAAATGGCGTAAAGTAGTCTTACACTGAGCAATTTATCTGCTGAACCATAGCAGTCCTACACCCTACACATCAAAAGTAGGAACTTTAGGATCAAATCCCTCTTAATTTATCCAGCAGCCGAGGAACCCCCCCCCCCCCCGTTTTGAACAATACGAAATATTGTGTTAAGAACTCA